GACGAGGACTTAGACCTTGGGTCCTGGTGGTGGGACAATAGGGAAGAGGCTGGGGAAAGGATGAGCTGAGAGGCGGTGGAAGCAGGAGGTTGGAGTCATCAAGCAAGGTCAAAAGAAGGAGGCCCTTACAGGACAGTCTCAGTCCTGCTGGCTCTCCTCCTCTCACACCCCGCTCTGGGAGAGTCCTACATGTTGCTGAGCAATGGACTAGACAAGCCCAGAGGAGGAGCTCATCCCCTACATTGCAGACTCTGTCTGTTTGGGAAGGCTCCAGAGTGAGGAGCTGGAGGGGAGCTCAGTTTGCCGCAACGTCTCAAGCTGAAGGAGTCCAGCCAGGGAGACCATACCGTGTTACTTTCTGTGAATGAAAGTCAACTGCATTTCAAGCCCCTAGCCTTTTCCTGACCTGCAGGGGCCCAGAACCTTCCAGTCAACTCTCAAAACACTCTGGAGAGTCCCAAGGATGCATGCAGGACAGAGAAGCCCAGTGGGCCACATTTAGCCTGAGTTTATTATTCCTTTGACATAGAGGCAAGCCTACCCATCATGTAATGCGTGTCTCCTGTCAGGTAGGTTATCGGCACCTCGCTTCCTTTAAATTTCCCCCATCCCCATGGACCCAACTTTGATAAGTTTGGCCCACTGCCCTTGCCCCCTAGTTTGGCCCTGTAGCAATGTGGCGTCTCACTCACTTGATCACATGATGGTTGAGGGATGTTGCTTCCAGTTGGCAGAAAAGAGCAGGGAGGTGAAGGGAGGAAGCAAACCTCACAAATAGTTTAATTTTAAATAGTTCCTTTGACTTTATAAGCTATGACACGTTTTCAAATCAAGCGCTTAAAAAGGGGGAGGGGGCAGATCAACCCTACACAGAAGGAACATTTTGGAACATAGGAAAATAGCAACGATCTAGCATGGTTATGATCAGAAGGGAGGGGAGTAGCTGTGTTTGATTGTGAAATTATATCAACAAACAGGAGTTTGCTAGCATCCTTCCCGTTCTATTTCCTAACAAAGGATTATACAGTTACACAATCAAATTGTCAAGTGGGCTAAGTCATGCCCATTTGCCCCCCAATATCACCCGGTACCCTACACCAGGGTCTTCTGGTATAAATTTGCAGAGTAACCTTCCAGGAGATCAGTGAAGGTGTTTTTTTTTTCCCCCATTCCCGTAAGTTTAACAATGGCAAGCCACTTTGGAAATTAAATCTCTTCCAAATTGCTAATTCACTAATTTCTTAGCCACAGTGCTCCTCGCCTGTAAAATGCGAGTATTAATTGGTTGCCTTTGGGAGCTGTACCAGCTCCTTTGAGTTTTGTGTTAGAAACACCGACTCGGGTGTAGGCCTGTATTTGTAAATACAGTGGATGAGTCACGCAGCGCAGTACGTAATTGACTCTGCTGTACACTCGCCCCCATTATTCTACACGTGCCTCTAATTGGTGGTTTAAAAAATTAAAAAGTAGATCCCAGAAGCCTGAGGTGTTCCTAGCCAGCTACTTTTGTGAAATGACCCTGGATCTTATGGGGTGGTTTGGAGAGAGTACAGACAGAGCAAAGTGTTAGGATGCACTGCCATAAAGACAGGCGTTCTGATCTTGCTATAGACTGTTCCTCTGTGACCTTCCATTATGTTTGCTCTTTTGTGCTTCCCAAACCTTTTGTTGTGCTTTTTAGTCACTTGTTTCACAGCAGGCCATTTTTGCTTGTCGGTCTGCGTTATAAGCCTTCAGGCTGTTAATGGGAGAAAACTTACAGATGTGGATTTTATTTTATTTTTATTCTGTGGCATAAACGGAGTCTGAAACTTGAGCATATATAGATATGCCTGGGAACTGTAGCAGCAATCGCCAAGGTGCACCTTCTGATTAAAATGGGTGTTTTGAAATGTTTTCAGATTAGTTCCATTGTCACTTTTGCCTGACCAAATCCAGAAAAAATGTTCCATTTCAAGCCAGTTTTCCAAACAAATCAAAATCCACCTGCTTCTAGATTTCATCCCTATTGGTGGAAATATGCAGCTTTCTGCCTTCCTGATTGTTACCTGCTTGGCCTCCGCTTCAGTCCCTGGAAACACTAGTTGAAAGCTCAGGTAGCAAGGAAAGGTGAGCAGATGCACTAAGATAACAGGAGATTGCTTCCACACCAGTCCCCAAATGTGGTACTGGCTATGAATAATCATCTGCTCGTGACCCTAGGCTCATAGCAGCATGGTGAAGGTAAATGCATAGCACACCTGTGGCCTCCTTCCCATATAAACTGGAGCTTCTGGTGTTTTGGAGCAGCACATTAAGAGAAACGTTGTGTTGGAAAGAGGAGCCAATATGGAGAGCCGGCTGAGGTCTAGGAGGAACTGGGCCAGCTCCAGCGTTGGAGAGTCCTGGGCAAATTGTCCTTGGGGGCAAGGCCCCCTTTTCTTGGTAAGTGGGCCCCCGTGGCCCTGCTCTGGGCAGCACAGGGAAGCTGCGTTGAGCCGCCATTTTAATTTCCCACAAATGACACACAACGACGTTCTTCATATTCCTTACTTGCCCTTCAACTATAAGGTTTCAGGACAGGTTGCAACAGCGCAACATGCAGTTATAAAAAGCAAAACCACCCCAACCAAAGTTGAACAGTATAGATTGAGCAGGAGAGATGGGTCCTACAAAACAAAACGCCTTAGAAGAAGTGCATTGTGGGAAATTAAAAGAGTGGGTAGATTCGGCTAAAAATAAAGGAGGCAGGCACAGCTGTAGGCCGCCAGGTGCTGCCATAATCCCTGTTGGGAAGGAATCTTTCTTGCTTATTTATCTTGCAGCCAGTACTGTTCCTGAAGTCTCTCCCCCTCCCTTTTATGTTTTTGAGCTTCATGTATTTGACCATTTGATGACAAATCAGTAGAGGACGTTACTGTGAAGGCTAATCACATGCCTCCTTGTCAGAGCCTATTCCTCACCTCCCCACCTCATCCCAATATAGCAAACCAACCTAAATGACCTGTTGGTTTAGTTTGTTGCCCTTTGCACTGTGGCGAGTGAGCATGACTGCAGGAATTCTATCTCAAAAGTCACTGTTTGTTAGCATTCCACCTGTGGAAGAACTTAAATCTGTACACGTTGGTGGAGAGATGAGTAGTACAGCCTACCCACCTCTGTTACTACTTTAGTTTTCTGTGAGTAATATGAAAACAAACCAGGATTGTGGTGGTTTGAATGCTCAAATGCAGATGTAAAATTAAAGCTTTTTTTAAAAAAAAAACGGAACAAGTTTGCTTCTCTGAAATTCTGAGGGAGAACACTGGATGAAAGAAGTGTATAAACCTGGTTATGTTTCTAAAATCTGGATTATTCCCCAGCCAAATATATTATTTATTTTATTTAAGCAGGGTGCAGGGATCGCTCAAAGTAGTTCACAACGTATCATAAACAAAGATCAAATACAAAAATGCTAAGGGGGCGAGAATCCACATTATAAAACACCCCTAACTAGATAGGCGCCCTCGTCAACATCAGAAAGAAACACTCGAAAATCAGCTACAGTGGTATCTCGGTTTTCGAACATCTCCGTTGATGAACGTTTCGGAACTTGAATGCTGTAAACCTGGAAGTAAATGCTTCGGTTTTCGAACATGCCTCGGAAGTCAAACTGGAAACACGACTTCCGTATTGGGATTTCTGTTCTGAGTTTTCGGTTTTTGAACATTTCAGAACTTGAGAGGTCTTCCTGAAAGGATTATGTTCAAAAACCGAGGTACCTACCAAAAAATACAATGAAAACTCTTGTTTTAAAATACTGTAATTTGCAACTGAGCAAAAGAAAAGAAAAAAACTCTTTCTGACCCACCATATGCCCAATGATGTAATTAAACAACCCAATCCAATTAAATTCCCAACCCCATAGTCAACCATAAGCACAGCTTAAAGGTAAAGGGACCCCTGACCATTAGGTCCAGTCGTGGCCGACTCTGGGGTTGCGGCGCTCATCTCGCTTTATTGGCCGAGGGAGCCGGCGTACAGCTTCCGGGTCATGTGGCCAGCATGACTAAGCCACTTCTGGCAAACCAGAGCAGCACACGGAAACGCCGTTTACCTTCCCACCGGAGTTGTGTTGGAAAGAGGAGCCATGCACTTTGACATGCTTTTGAACTGCTAGGTTGGCAGCAGCAGGGACCGAACAACGGGAGCTCACCTCGTGGGGATTTGAACCGCCAACCTTCTGATCGGCAAGTCCTAGGCTCTGTGGTTTAACCCACAGCGCCACCCGCATCCCAAGCACAGCTTAAACGGCAGGTAAAATTGCATTCCACTCAAGCACACATAATTAGTGCGTGCACAACAACCAAACACAGAAACCCTACAAACAATGTACTCAAACTTTACTCCTCTAACACGCAGTTCCGATAATTCTGCATTGCATCCTCAACAGCCCACTCATGAGACCTAGACAAATACTGACATACAAAGCAATACACCCCACCCTCTAAATAAGGCATTCATGCCAAGCAGTCCACTCTGGAGGTGGGGAGGCATACAATATACGCCCAATAGCAGGGGTTCACATGGGGGCTGGAGGAACAGAAACCACCTTTCCCCAACTTTCTAACCGCCAGGCAGTAACACATCATCTGTTTTCACCCCCCTAAAACAAAAGGACAGAACAGAAAACTCTTAGATGAATGAGGTGCCTCATATAAATACCATTCACTGCCTTGGTTTCTCACCCGAGGGATCCCAAACTACCCCCAAGTAGCACTTCTGGTGCTCTGCTTCACTTCAAATGGATGAGCTGGGTTGCTACTAGCTGTACCCAAGGGAGACTCAACCAAAAAGGGTAACCAGGGGGGGGCTGGAATGGACAGCTGCCAGGTGTGAGTGAGCTGGAAGCAGAGAGATGCTGCAAGATCTGAGGAGAGAGAGATGCCTTGCTGTGTGCTCTAAAGCTGTGACTAACGTAGGAGCAAGATCTGTTGGGGCATTGATGCTGTGAGGCCCTAGACACCACAGTTTCCACTGACCTTCCTTCCAAGTCTCCGATAAGCACTGGAACGCCTGGTGTCTCTCATTTTCAGAGGTTAGAGTGATGTGTAACAATATTCGCAGCACATACTCAAAAGAGGTTTCAGACGCCTTCTTTGGCTGCAACATTCAGTCTCCAGCTGTAAAACATATGGATGATGATGATGATGATTATTATTATTATTATTATTATTTATACCCCGCCCATCTGGGCAGCTTCCAACAAAAGATTCAAAATACATTAAAACACCAGTCATTAAAAACTTCCCTAAACAGAGCTGCTGCCTTCAGAGGTCTTACAAAAGTCAGATAGTTGTTTATTTCTTTGACATCTGATGAGATGGCGTTCCACAGGTGCCACTACTGAGAAGGCCCTCTGCCTGGTTCCCTGTAACTTGGCTTCTCGCAGGGAGGGAACCGCCAGAAGGCCCTTGGCGCTGGACCTCAGTGTCCGGGCTGAACGATGGAGGTGGAGACGCTCCTTCAGGTATACTGGGCCGAAGCCGTTTAGGACTTTAAAGGTCAGCACCAACACTTTGAATTGTGCTCGGAAACGTACTGGGAGCCAATGTAGGTATTTCAAGACTGATGTTAAGAGTCTAGTGAGACATTAAGAGGATAACACACCTGAAAATGAAACTGGAGGTGAACCATTTTAGTGCCACATTGTATGTTGGATGGGCATAAGGCCCAAATTCAAGCCAGTAAACTCCCACAGGGAGAGCAAGAGGAAATAAACCTGATAACAAAACCATGAGGAAGTTGCCGGTAGATATAAAGGGAACGAACATCTCATCTTCTTAAACCACATTTGCTGGAGCAATAAGGACCAGCAGAGGCACTGTCACGGGAGTGGGGGAATAAACTTGGTTGTAATCTCTCCTATTTTATAAGAACAAACAACTGGCAATATCTGTGCACATTCAGTGAAAGGTGTGTTTCTTTAATTTTGGTAAACCAGCTTAATGGTATTATTAATAAAATTTCTACACCGCCTTCACCCGAGGTTCACGGGGCAGTTTACAATATGAAAACACAAAAATACCTAACATAGTAACAAACCAAACAATAACCCCACCCACCCACAGTTTAAAAGGCCATAGATAGTTTAATCAGCCAAAGGCCTGGGAGAAGAGCATTTTTGCCTGGCACCTAAAAATATGTTGGAAGTTGGAAGCCGCTGCAAGAAAGTTCTATTCTTGTGTTGCCACCCTGCAGACATTTTGTGGAGGGTCGACACTAAGAAGGGCCTCAGAGGATGATTTCAGGGTCCGGGTCAGTTCATATGGGGAGAGGCAATCCTTGAGAAGGTATTGTGATCCTGAGCCTTTGAAGGCTTTCTAGATCAAAACCAACACTTTGAACTGGGCCAGGAAACTGACTGGCAGCCAAGTGCAGTTGGGCCGGGTTTGGCGTTGTATCTTCAAACTGGTGCCTCTGAATTCTGCACCAGGATTGACATTCAAGGGGAACAAGAGCAATTTTTTCCCTTCACTTTAACTTCTGATTTGCTGAAATCAGGATTCTTGGAATTCACAGTAAATCTTTCAAAGAGGACACTGTTGAGTTCTGAAACTATCTTTCAGCCTGAATGAAGACAACTTCCAAATGGTAAAAGCTTTCAAACATTCCAGAAGAAATTTGCTGTGTTTCCAAACCCATTAGATTGCTTAACTACTTCTGGACAGGGAGGATAATGAGCTCATCTGCTATAATGAGCTTATAGATTTGTGCGTTGAAAAAATAAGCAAAACAGCAAATGTATAAGTGAGCTATCCTAAAAACTTTGTTATAGAGTAGTAGTCTATTGTCTCCCAAGACAGATGGATGCCAACGAAGTAAATAACACACTGGATGGTATTCAACACTCGTTCTAATCATAATAGACCCATTGACGCTAATGGACATGATCATCTTAGGTTCATACATTTCAATGGTCTGCTCTGAGGAGGCCTTAGTTGAATATAATCCAGTGTTCTCATTTGGAATATCTTTGAAAACATAATTCCATTAGATATACAAACATAAATGCTGATTTGATTAAAGATCATGTTCCTTTTCCATTTTATTTTCTTAAGATTTATGAAGGGAATTACTGGCTACTGTTCATCTGATGGAGAAGAAAAATTTAATAAGAAGTTATGAAAATAGACGCATATTGTACTTTAAATTATATGGCTTGTTTCCTTGAAAGTTTAATATGTGTATTTCAAACACTACTCTCTTTAAAACGTACTATTTACAAATTTAAGAAAAATCACACAAAATCAGCAGGAATATCAACAGAGAAAATCTTAAATGTACAGTGATCAATCAACATAGACCTGCTTGATCTATGACTATATTCAGCTGTGCATTTCCAAACAGTGCATTTCTAATAGCAACACAGAAAGGACTCACATCAAACACAATTCACACATAATGTAGACTTTACTTTTGCTTTATCTGGCAAATAAACAGTCATTCCAGTGTATCCAATTAGAAAAATAAATAAATCTAGCAATCTAGCCAACACTTTGCTTGTAGCCCCTCTGTCTAGGTTCATCCATAATAGCTGAGCCATTTTGTTTTGTCTCGCCTAACATGATGAGGGAAGATGCCTGTTATTTCTCTCCTCTACTCATCCTATAAACAGTTCCTGCAAATAAAAATCTGCTCCTGCATGAATAAAGCCTTTGAACTTTTGATTCAAGTCATCCAAGCTGCATGCTCTCCTAACAACAATTTCTAGTCAATATTCCTTAAAATGACTGGGTCACACCAGGGAAATCGCTCTTGAACAAAAATACATTTGGTAACTGTCTAAATATCAAGACACTAGGCTGCATTTCAGCTGGTAACTGATTCCAGGGTGGGCCCCCAGACCTTAGTTTGCCTACCCATGGTTTAAAGTGATGGTGTAAATAAGTAAACCCCCTGAAATCAACGGACTTTTCAATGGGTCTACTCTGAGTATGTTGTCCTTGATCCAGGAAATCCAGTTAACCAATCCGTATTCATATTCATTGGAGTGACTAACCAAATATTTTATCACAAAATAAAAATTGCCCCCAGCTAATTACTGACCACAACAAAAAATCTTAGGTGTGGGATCCTCCCAGAACCTAGTCCTGATCCTCCCTTCGGCAAATTTGATGAAAACAGTTTAAGCGTGTGTTATCAGCAGCCAGAAAATGGTGGCTTCAAATTTAGGAAACTCTCTTGTCCTCTTTCCCCACCCCCTCCTCCAGAGCCTCTAAAAGTGCAATTTTGTTGAGGGTTTCCAATATTTAATCAAGTTAATTGCTTAAAAGATGGGTGGTTAATTGAGGTATATCAAATTTTATTATTTAACTGAATAGGTCATTATACTAATGATCAAATAAAATATAATAAGAAAATCCATTTATATCCTTCAGAGAGCATTCACAGTGCTGCTTGTATTAAAATGAATGGGTCCAGTTAATATATTAAAAATCAATATTATTTAATATCTGGAAGTGCCTAAGATGTACTAGGAACTGGATGTTTTGAAAATGGCTCCATACCTATTGAATAAATAAATACTGTAAATGAAAAGGACACATTATGATGGTGGTGGCTGCTTTTATTAGAAGCATCTATATACCACTCTCCATTAAAAGAAACCCTAGGGCAGTATGGAAAGGAAAAAATTATATATTGAAAAATACATTAATACTCCATATTATAAGGCATTTTAAAAAACCATTTGCAAGAATACAAATCCACCGTAGAAAAAACCAGGTCAATAAGATTAATTACTAACAATGATTGTTAGTAACAATACAAATCGGTAAGTGTTTGCATGAACAAGTAGATCTTCAAAACATGTCAGATTGATGATCAAGATGGTCCCTGCCTAACCTCCTGAGAAGTTATCCCAAAGCCTGGGTGCCATGGAGGAAAATACCTGAGTCCTGGTTGATGCAAGACATACCTGTGCAAGAGGCAGTATAAGCAGGGTGTATTGATCTGCAGATATTGGTAAACAAGCATGTCTACAATGGGAGAATACATTGACTTGCAAATTACTTCACAGCCCTAAGCTACTAAAGTGGTTTACAATAAAATAATATAAAATACAAAAACTACAGTCTCAAATCAACTAAAAACAATAAAACAAATGTTGGAGAAAAGCAAATACATTTCCTTCTTTTGAGCCTTTAGCTATTGCATGTGTTACTTTAAACCACACAAGCCCACTCTTTGTCTAGCAATCTAGCCAACACTTTGCTTGTAGCACCTCTGTCTAAGTTCATCCCTAAAAGCTGAGCCATTTTGTTTCGTCTCGCCTAACATGATGAGAGAAGATGCCTGTTATTTCTCTCCTCTACTCATCCTATAAACAGTTCCTGCAAATAAAAATCTGCTCCTGCATGAATAAAGCCTTTGAACTTTCAATTCAAGTCATCCAAGCTGCATGCTCTCCTAACAACAATTTCTAGTCAATATTCCTTAAAATTACTGGGTCACACCAGGGAAATTGCTCTTGAACAAAAATACATTTGGTAGCTGTCTAAATATCAAGACACTAGGCCGCATTTCAGCTGGTAACTGATTCCAGGGTGGGCCCAGGACCCAGGCAATGTTTGGCAAAAAGGGCTCCCTTGAACACTGAAATCAGCATGCAGCCACTGAGATATTTCACACACTGCTTTCTGAGAGGTACACCTTAAAGAAATCAAGTGTCTCCCTCAGTGTGTCCAGTAGCACTGCCAGAAATATGTATTTGCAAACACACCTGTTGTCTACTATGGTTTGCTGCATCTCACTGGCAAGAGTAGAATCTGAGACAAACTAGGTTTGCTGCCATGCTTGCAGTGTGTGAAACGTAATCCTTATAGTTTGTGCTTTTAAGATCCTTATAGTCAGTATTCTTATCTTTAATAATTCTGGACTATTTCCTACGTGGCATGGCCACATGTTGACACTTAAGCGTGCATTTTTCTTCTGCCTGCAAGCATCAGAAATTTCCACCTGGTCAGTCCCCTCCTCCTATTTCCCCCTCTGGCCCTCTATCACTTGTTAGATTAGCTGGAGGACATGCCCTAGCAATGAAATCAGTTTTTAAACAAATGACAGAACTTTGAACCTCATGCTGAAGTTAAAGAATAACAGCAAGGGAAGTCGGATCAATGGC